TTATTTTTATTTATCAGTAATTAGTATTTATTTATAATTAACAGTAATAAATAATAATTAATATTAATGAGGGTTATAATTGGAAAATTTGACAAAAAGCTCCTCATAAGCTACTCCAACTAACGTTTCAATAAGCTAGCTTATGTCCATCCAAACATGTACCCAAAAAATAAACTGGCTTATGTTTGCCAAACAATGCCTTTATGCTCGTAATTCCACCTTCACTCACCACTTGGAATCCAACAAAATTTAGCGCTTTAAACATATATGCATGTATGTTTTTACACCCAGTACCCTTCTCAGTTGCTGTAAATGTGCTTAAGTAACAAGATCAAAATCATAATTCAGCAACGAATTGCTTTCTACCACCTATCAAAGCAGTGCATTGCCTTTGACCTCTTTTAGCAACTTCACAACTAAAATTTATACAGATACACCATACTGGACATAATAAAATTGATGAGTTAGCCTAAAACTTGGCCTTGTTAAATCAAGTATAGTAAAAAAAAAAAAAATACTATCTTCTTATTGCAATGAGGCCACAACGGTGAAGAAAGGGCAGAAACTTGTACCAGTTTCCCGTGACAAACAATGTAAAGGTGATCAGCTATATTTCCTTCTTCAATAATCACTTCTCCAGGAAGAAAAAGTTCTTCCTGAACTTTAATTGCCTACAAGATCAAATTAGTAAATATATTAACAAATGGGAAATAGGAGTGATTACACAAGCTGTAATACAGTCAAATTTGATAAAGGCTCAAGGCGCACTTAGGCGCAAAGGGGTTCCAGGGCCTAGGCGCAAGCCTCAGGCATGCAAGGCACATCTTATCAATATATATACACACGCACACACATTTTACACAACTCAAATAGCATTATACAAAACATAGTTCAATTTCAGTTTTCAAATAGCACTAATATCAAACATAGCTCAATAAAGTCCTGATTACTAGTCACTCCTCATTACTCATCATCATCATCATCATCATCATCATCATCATCATCATCATTGTCATCATTATCACCATCAAGTGTGTATTCTTCAACGTCTTCATCGAATTTATACTCCCCAATAATGATACTAATATTGCTTCTATTTAAGTAACTAGTGAACGAGAGAGAGGGTAGGAAAGAATACTACGCATACAGATATGCTAATACTACACAACAATAAAGATATAGAAAAGCCCAACCTTGACCTCCCCTCACCCGTAGAAAAGTCCAACCTCTTGCGATTTAGCACCTTAGAGTCTAGGCATGCTTTTAATAACCATGAATACAGTATGGCAAGGAAGTAAGAACCATGCTCAATGCTTTTACCAGTATCAGTGATTCTTTTGTAAAATCACAGTTAGTTGTGAATAACAAATAAATCCTCTTGTGGCCACGGAGGTTTAAATGCAGTGACTCCCGGCTATCTGCAAAGCAGGTGGTTGCCCTGGGATTAGTCGGCTCGCATAGCGGGTTGGATATCCAGGTTAATAAAAAAAAACAAATAAATCCTGTTTACTCTATCAGCAGATGGTAGTGCTAGGTATTCAATGAAGGAATAAATCCCACATAGCTTACTATAAGCTTCTTAATCTTTACAAAAAATTGCACAACTTCTCCACTAATAACATATAAGTTCAACTTTGGATGTTGCACACAAGAGTTATTTGCTTTTAGCTGATGAGGATGGCTGGTCTATATGATTGTAGCATTCCCTTTCCATGTTGGAAAGGAGAATATTTAGTAAATTTGTATAGGATATTCTATATTTTGTTGTAAATATAGAAGATCGGTTAAATGCCATACTAAAGGAACTTCGGTTTTAGATATCATGGGATTCAGCTAGAATGATTGATTTTGTACGACCAACCTTCGTAGTAGAAAAAATTAGTAAAGCTAGCTACCTTCTACCATGTCTGAGTTGTGTCCAAGTCTATCTCCCCACTATGCACTTGTTAGAGAAGCTAATGTTGGACAACTTCATTAGAAGAACTCTGAAGAGAAGAATCGTGAAGAGTGTGACTATTGCAATAAGCCACGATACAACCATGAGACTTGATAGAAACTCCATGGCAAACCAGTGAGACATGCTGGAAAATGCATGGCAAACCAGTGAATTAGTAGGGCAAACATGAAATCAGGTTTGTTCACCCTTCAACTGCACACGAAGAAACAGTTGTTCCATTTACCAAAAGAGCAGATGAATCAGAGTCGAGAATTGTTAAATTCCAATGATGGGGTGTCGATCATTTGAAAATTGTTAAATTCTAACAATTGGGTGTCGACTACTTCTCATCATGGTTCTATGGCACAAACAGATACTGATGTAAATGATCTAACTTGCCATTCCCTTTCACACTCTACTCCTTGGATCATTGATTTAGGAAACTCTGATCATATATTATACTGCTAATCGCGGTGCTATATCGTGGTTCTCGGTCATGGAACAAACAGCAGTCTGAAATAGCGGTCCTGCTATTAGCAGCGCTATTGACTGCTAAATGACCGCATTTTGAATACAAAAAAGTAGGCACATAACCACTATTTGTAGATAGGTTGTTTTGGTATTAAAAAGTAATTTTGTAGGCTTTTACTTTGGACCTACGTCGGGTTTTACTTTAGTTAGACAATATTAAGGCTTCATTATTCTTATTGTTTTGGACTTGGACACCATTATTATTATTTTTTTGGAGTTGGACATCATCACTTTGATCTCTGACTTTGAATGAAAGTATTGTTCAATTATTTTTATTTGGAGTTGGACATCATAATTATATATAATATGTTGAGTTATGTATATAATATATATATATATATAATTATCATATGAACCACTGTCTTTAGGCCGCTTTACCATCTCGATAACCGCTATTTCAAATCATGGTCCTCACTGTGATTTCATATTTTGACCGTCGTAATAGCATAGATCATAGGACAAGACTTTCTAACTTGTTTAAAATCATGGGTATTGTATAGTTTGTTGTAAATATAGCAGGTAGAGTCGAATGCCCTAATCAAGGATTGGGCTTTAGGTGATTGTTAGAATCATGGAATTCAGTATATTTTGTATAGCTAACCTTCCTAGCTTAGTTCCCTTGTAATCCTATTTTAATGTAGGTTGTATAATGGAGAAAATTAACTTCCTTTCTGTTCGCATTTGCTTATATTCCCATTTCCTTGCATCTCAAACTAGTTGGAGCAGGGTAAGCAGAAAACAAAATAGAAGTTGGAGGGGTCAACCTAGTCGTGCAAATTGGGTTCCTTCCCAACCCTAACAAGAAGAAATTGAGTTGGGTTTGGTTTTACATATAACACATTTAGATTGGGTTGGCTGTCATATTTTCGCTCTCAAACAAATTGGTAAGTCTAGAGGTTTAACTTGCTCAAAACACAAATGACACATATGTAACCAATATAATATAGATATCATATAAAGAAATTGGTATAAACTAGAAAATTTTCTTTCTTTGAACTCAAAATGAATGAGGACACAGATGGAGATAGTAAAGAGAATTTCAATATAAATTTTATATATTACATAATTCTACAGAGAATAAAATTTCCATAAAAGAACTGTGTTTTCAGAACTTGAAGCATATAACCAGTCAGGTTCAAGATTATAAGAGCTTGACTTGACTTCTTTTCGTGCTTTTCAAGCCATATGTATCTGTTATTATTCTTGGAGTGAGTTCAAATTGGGCTAGCTTTATTGAACATAGTTCGAGCTCTCAAATAGAGATGGGTTTATCGAGCATAATTCTCATGGATATTTTCAATCAATTCAAGCCCCCCCTGGAACTAAGCTTGAATCCTCCTCTGGTTAACCTCAAGCCAGCATCAAGACTCATCAAGCTATTGAATCGAGCTTGTACTTAGCCTAATACCATTGAACTCAGCTCAGCTTGTTTGCACCTCTACACGTATATATGCTTCTGTAGGTACCTCATATAATATACATTTATACATAAATGTAAATATCTATATATATAATTATGAGCTCAGAAAGAGAGAAATATTTAGAAAGCAAAAAATGTAACTATACTTCTTGAGTGAGAAAAAATTTCAAAGAATCTGAAATGAAAATGTAAATGATGTTCAGATTATAGATCTAGAGAGTGGAAGTGATTACTTTACATATATAATATTTGTATACATGATTTTAAAGTGTGTATGAGAGTTATTTTCTAGAAATGTGGTTTCAAAGAGCAAGAAATTAGACATATAATGTTATAGAGAGATAGAGCTTACAAGTATGAGTGTGTGTTTCACCATCAGAGTGCACACGTAGGTCTAGAAGTGTTTGAAGGATTTTAGGAAGAGAAAGTTTAGTTAGAAAATATCATAAGCTAGAAAATACATAATAACCTTTATGATTTTATGATGTTCACCTAAATTGTCAAGCCCAATTTCAACCCAACCCATAGTATTACAACTCACTGGGGCTGCATTGATTGAATAGGTTGACATGTAAAGTTTTAATTTTGACAAAAAAAGAGATTGGTTTGATTTCTTAATTGGGCTATTTGGGTACCAAACCCAACCGAACCCAATCCAATCCTCCTAAGTGGCAGTCGTAAGGGAACCCCTTTTGACATATATTTCCATGCTCTCTATTTATGGCCAACTCCTCCAATATATGACACCCCTAAAATCCCTTTGACGATTGAAGAACACGTAAAACATATTTCCACGCTCTTTACTTATGGCCAACTCCATCAATATATGTCACCCCTGAAAATCTTCATCATCTACCCCAGTTTATTCTCTCCTAATTATAGTCTGACTCTTTCGGTATGCCACTCTTTCAAATCTCTCTAAATTACTTCCTTTTTTTCTTGGCCTATCCTTACACCTTGCGTACCTCAATTTCTCCTCCGTTCCATACCAGAATACCGGTACATGTAAATACAATACTCTAAAAAATGTTGAGAAAGGGATTGAATGTGTTGGAAGAATCCATCATACCACCGTAAATTAACAATAAAAGAAAAGGCAGTATATAAATGTTACATACATCCCTAAGAGGGGAGCATATGCAGGGTGAACTGAAGTGATGTAGAATTTTTAATGTCAGGCCGTCAGCCAGATCTCGAACATGAACACAACAGAGCAATCATGTGATAACCAAACCAATATTGCATCTTCATGAAGGGTCAAATGCAGAATAGAAATTGCAGCAATCAAGCATCATAACAAATGTTTGTCTTGTGCGTCAAAAAAATAACTTACTATCTGTTTGATGAATGCAAGAGAGCATCCCTTGAAAAGAGGAACTTCTTTAATGTATGGCTCATATAACTTCTGCGAGATCTGTAAAACGAAAATGTTAGTGTAACAAAGTAATCTGATTCACCTCAGGTTGAGTTCTGAGTGGTTTTCTCCACGCCTTGTATTTTCTTTTTTCTAATATATTTTCCAGAGGTTCTCATCTTTCCAAAAAAAGAGGATTCTGATTGGTTAAAAACTAGTGTTCTCATTAAAATCCAAAAAAAACTAATATCTGTTGTCCAACTATATAAGACAAAACATGCTATGCTTTATATCACACCTTGGCTCGAAAACTAGCAGGGATATCCTGAAGAACAGCAGTGTCGTTGTAGCTGCTCTCATACTGTAAGCGCACGTGACCCTTGACCTCGTTGCTTATCTGCCTCCCAAGGTTGTTTTTGTTCATATATTTAATTAGATCAGTCATTTTATCCCTAAACCTTTCCGTTTTTGATCCTTTTACAATCAGTGCTGCCATATTACCAAGTAAATAAGCACCAAGAATCATGTCACCCGAAATATAGATGATTATGAACATCATTTCCCTATTGTTGACAGCATGTATATCTCCATAACCTGCAGCATGTGCAACAAATTGCTGGAACGAGTAAGCACCCTCACATAAAGCCAATAAAGGTCGCATGAGTGGCAGTAAATCATCATAATGTTATAAGGCCATATGCGCAATTCAATAGAATATATAATATTTTAAAGCAATATCTTCACCAAGAAAGTCATAGTATAACAAAATACAATTCAAATATTATTCATGAATATGTATAATCATGCGGTTGAACTACTAATGCATAGCTAAAATTTCCCATTATTATGGTGGATACACAGTAATATGAATGATCTGTTACTGAAATCATACATTTTGTGTTGCAAATGATATGAACTCCATTAAGAAATCAGAATCCAATCTAAATCACCATTTTATTGACAAATCACCCCTGTTTGGTAATGATATACTTCTAAATCTGTTTGTCTTATTTTCATGGATTTGTATTAATCGAAACCTTATTAATAGCCACATGAATGGAAATGTTTCTTGTTGGTGTATGTATATTCATGAGCAATTACTGATGAGACAAGATTACATTCACAGGCTTAATATAAATACATTCTGGTTCAAGCACCACTAGATTTGAGATCGTCCTTCGAAATAGGCTATACTCGGCAGCAATTAAACTCATTGTTCTGGTGTCTAAGGTTCAAATAAGCTATTCTAGCTACAAGATAATGCCACAATCCAATCATTGCATATCAACATAAATCGAGGCAACATAATCCTCCGGTTTTATTTTTTTGTAGGTCTAGCCGGAATCTAGATAAAATGAACTTAAGGAAAGCTTATCCACATTCGGGCCAAGCTCATTTGCTTCATTTTTTATCCCTACAATTTACAAAGAATGAGATTGAAGGGATTCTTGCATAGAAGAATATAAGTTCAACATTCCTTCCATTTATTTTTTAAGATATATATACAAGCAATGGAGTAGCTCAAGCACTAAATTATGAGTTGTCCTTGTATATCAAAAAATTAGTATTGGAATGTCAAAACCCTCCCTAAGTAGTGGTGGATTAAAGTCGTTTAATTAAGACAACCATCAGGTATGATCTACCTAGCTCATGTTTTCGAAACAATGGAAATGAGAATAAAAAAGGGGCTCACCAACAGTCGCCATGGTTACAATGGCAAAATATAGTGAAGTTATGTAGCGTGTCCACAAGTCTATTTCTCTAAATTGCGAGTAATTGTAGTCGCCCATCTTCAAACTCCCTATCCATGTATAACCTTCCTTTGCAGGAGGCAGTGTGGTCGCCAGGTAGTAAAAGATACATGCTGCTGTATGTGTACAATATAGTTCGACAACAAAAAGTTTTATAATTCTTGTGAATAGGTAGTTGATACGAATATCCTTCTCCAATCTCTCAAAAAATTCAGTCACTCGTAAAGCCCGACTTAGCCTGATCCACAGCAGGTACCTCACTGGTTCTTTTCTGTTACAAGCCTGATGAAATAAGTGAAAGAGTGTTGCTAATCTGATGTAGTAAGAATGAAATTCAAGCATTCAAAGGATGATGCATCAAGTAGGTATACTATACACAGGTAGTATTTCCCTTAGTTACATATGCCAATTAATGAGATGGCTTTCTTTATAGCAAAAATATAGTGAGTTTGTGGAAGAGATACAGATAACTTGTATAAGTTCAAACACATTCTGGCATATATTTCAATGCAAGTGTTAGTACTAATAAAGGCCATAAATAATTGTGAATATCTCGAGAGACCTGACCAAAATCAATACTCATCATCTGGCTGGACTTTGTAGAACTCTATCATGGGAATATGGGACTTATTTATCATACTACAATTTGGGCCATAGAACCAATATTACGTAAAATGAGAAGCTTAATAATGCAGTCACAACTCTCTCCTTCTCCTAGTGGCTTACATACTATTGTTTCTACCTGATATGCAACAATGATCCCTAGGTATAACAGTGTTGAATAATTGAGGGATGAGTGGCAAACAAAGCATGCTCAAGATATGTGACAGGCATGCAGACAGTTAAGAAAGCAAACCGAGGGACTTCACACAATCAAAAATCCGATGAAGTCGGCCCATAATGGATGATTGTAAATATCATGTTACTTTTGTTGATGATCATATGGAATATCATGGATTGATTTACTTCACTCCCATACATATCTTCTATATTTTTGTAGAATTTTGTGCTGACATGAAGAATCACTTTGGGCATCAATTGGAGAATTTCTCAAAACCATTTACAAACTTTATGGGTATGTTGGGGATAGTACAGGAATCAACTTGTGGGTACCCTTCACAATAAAAGTAATATGGCACAACTTAAAGTTGTACATTTACAAAGGTAACTCATATTGTTTCTCCCCATATCATGTGGGTGATATTGTCTTTAACTATATGTTGTCTCGTAAGTGTTTTCAAGTGGACATTATAGATAAAGACATTTGACTTGATTACCTAGAAGCTAAGCAGTTAACGCGTCGATTGTGGAAATCACAGTCGGGACCATGATTTGAAATTGCTGTTATCGCAGTGGTAAAGCGACAGTATAGCGGTAAAAATTAGGTTTATAAAAATAAATATGAGTGTGTGTGTGTGTGTGTGTGTTTAAATTTATATATTGTATGCCTATAAAAATAAATATTTAATGCACAAACAACAAAATAATAGCGAACCTAAACGTAAATGGTTAGTCAACAAAGTAAGAAACCACTAGAGACAGAAACAGAAACCATTCAGAAAAGTGGCGTCCAATTCCAAGGTCCAAAATTCCAACAATTAGGGGCTGTTTGGTAGGCTCTTAATGGTTACATTAAGAGCCAACYTCTTAATCGGTAAGAGGTTAGGTCTGTTTGGCAAAAAAAAACAAGCCTCTTAATGATTACAAACACCTCTTAACCATTTTGCATCTGGTACCTCACTCAACCATTCAGATCCTTCTTTTTCCAATTTTACCCCCTCCTTCCTCGTCGCTCACAGCTCCTCCCCCACCCTCTCCTTCCTCTCGTCGCCGGTTACCCTTCCCCCCATCTCCATCGCCGGCGACCTTCCACAGCTTCCATCGCCGGCGACCGTCCACAGCTTCCGTCGCCTTCACTGAGTTCACGTCGCCTTCCCAGCTTCCACCATCTCCGTCCCCGTCTTCGGTTGTCGCTCGACCGGTGATAGCCTGTGAGACTCCACAGCTTCCATCGCCGTCGACCTTCCACAGCTTCGATTAGGTTTTCGCCATCGCCCCTCGCCATCGCTGGTCACCTGTTGCCTTCACGAACTCGTCGCCCAGCGTTCGGGAGCCCCAAATTGGACCCAACGTACACACCCAGTTGAATCCAACCAGATTTTGGTTAGGGTTTTGGTTTTTATTGTTTATGATTAATGAAGCAGATTGGCAATCGATGAAGCAGATTTTGGTTAGGGTTTTCGTTATTGATTCTTGAATCGATGAAGCAGATTGGTTAGGGTTTTCGTTCTTGATTCTTGAATCGATGAAGCAGATTGGTTAATCGGCCCTAACACATTATCCAACTTCAACTTCAAAGAAAATGTGAATGAGGGTTAAAATGGTAATTTACTGTCATTCAGATAACAATTACCAAACAACATTATTTCATTCAGTACTTAACCATTCTGGCCCTCTTAACCATTCTGACCACTTAACCATTCTGCACCAAACCATTCAGCAACTGCCAAACAGCCCCTTAGAGACTAAAATAGAAAGTCAGAAACCGTTACCTTATAGTAAGTGTTAGTGTTCAAAAGTAGAAGCAACCGAAGATGAACAATAGAGGGAACTGATAAAAGCACAATCGAACATGACTATAGAATCGTTTTGGACTTTGAAATAGATGACCAAAGTTTTGGACTGTGGAACTGTTGGATCGATAATCGTTGCTTTTGTTGATAGGCCAACTAAGAGTCTAAATAGCCCACCCAAAATAGAACATGTTTAAATTTAACAAAGAAGGTCCAAAATTATTACACAAACTTTGAAGCCGTAACCAATTTCTCCCGTTTTAAAAAACAAAGGCTAGCAACGTAATGGGCTATTGGCTTTTGATTGTCATCTCATATTCGTGTGGATACTATTAGAGGGTTGGAACATTCAATCACGAAGATTCAACATTAAAGTTGCAACCTCTGAAGTCATTACATCACAAAGTTAAACACATTATTCGATAAGGTATGATTTCAGTCCAACCGATTTAGTTTCTTTGTGATTTGCATTGATCCTTGGTTCTGAATTTCGGTTATATTATTTCTATTTGTTTCATGTATGGCTCCCCAAATCCCAATAAAAGAAATGAATGTGGGGAAGGTCTTGAGTAGTGAATGTTAGGAATATAGGTAGTTGCTGTGTATTTAAACCTGTTTCTGGATATCGGTTGAGATACAATTCAATAGAGAAATATTTTTCTCCTGTTCCAAAATCTTTATGGTATCAGAGCTTCTCTAATCCATCACACTCGGTCATTAAGAATAATGACGAAATACATCGGTCATGCCATGAAAAACGAAGCAGAAAGCTCGGGTATACACCAGGGATCCCAAGTGATGTCGAACGCCACAACCCGCCTCACCGAGGGTGGGTTAATTCCCATCACCGGACACAAGCTTACAGGCTAAAACTACAATCAATGGTCCCATTCCGTGATGATTTTCATCAGCGGAAAAGGGAAAGAAGACTACTTGACTGGTGCAGCCCCTGAACCGAAGGAAGACAATGCAAAGTACAGAACTTGGAAGACTGAAAATAACATGGTGATGCCGTGGCTCTTGAACTCCATGACCGATGAGACGGGCGAGAATTTCATGTACTATAAGACAGCAAAAGAAATCTGGAATGCTGCCCGGGACACCTATTCAAACAAGGACAACGCCTCAGCTATATTCGAACTCCAAGTATTGCATGATCTACGACAAGAGGAGAAGTCACCGAATACTTCAACTTGCTGGTCCACTATTGGCAACAGTTGGATGTGTTAAATGATGTCTCGTGGAGCTTCCCTCTTAATCAGAAACAATACAAGGAAATTCTGGAGAAAGAACGAATTTATAAGTTCCTACTTGGTTTGAACCAGAATCTGGATGAAGTTCGTGGGAGGATCCTTAGCAGCAAACCGCTGCCTAGTGTGAGGGAAGCCTTCTCTGAGGTTCGACATGAAGAAACTCGGAGGAAGGTCATGTTGGGATCTACAACCACTGAAGGGTCTGCATTGGTGGCAAGGAAGGGAAACACCTTCACCAAAGCACAAGGCTTCCGCAACAATGAATCTCAAAGCACCCCAAACCCTCGATCTGGCAGCCGTCTGTGGTGTGATCACTGCAAGATCCCCGGTCATACAAAGGAGATTTGCTAGAAAATACATGGAAGACACGTGGGTAAGCAACCATATCGACCATCTGGTCATGCAGCTCAGTAGATGCTCCAAACCACCATTCAGTCAGCAATTGGAGAAAAAGGTATAGCTGCCATGGCAAAAGGTGCGCACGTAGGTAAGCAACCATATCGACCATCTGGTCATGCAGCTCAGTAGATGCTCCAAACCACCATTCAGTCAGCAATTGGAGAAAAAGGTATAGCTGCCATGGCAAAAGGTGCGCACTTACCGACAGCCCTAAATGTTAAGCACATGTGAATGGATCGTGGACTCTGGGGCCACGGACCACATGACCGCAGACATCCGGGTACTCCAAAATCTCCAACAGGATACAACTGGGGCTAAGGTTCGGACAGCCGATGGTTTACTATCCAATGTAAAAGGGATAAGTTCGGCTTATATCACCAAAGACATCACTCTCCACTCTGTGTTCTATGTCCCTAACTTGACTTATAATTTGATGTCTCTTATCAAGCTTATGAAAGACCAAAACTGCATCACTAAAATGTCTCCTGTTGTATGTGAATTTCAGGTTTCAGTCTCCGGGAGAACGATTGGCAGTGCAAGACCTCGTGGAGACATCTTCCGGATGGACCTGATTCTGCATTTAATCCACCTAGGACACCTACAAATAAGTGTTTTCAATCAAGCCAAACAAAAGAATGATCTTTTCTTATGGCATCTTAGATTAGGACACCCTAATCTCATGTACTTAAAAAGACTATTTCCTGAATTATTCAATAAAAGTTCTATTCCGTTTCAGTGTGATGTGTGCCAACTCTCTAAACATACTCGAAATCAGTATCCAATTCAGCCCTATAAGGCTTCACACCCATTTCATTTAATTCACAGTGATGTATGGGGACCATCTAGAGTAAAGAACTTATCTGGATCTAGATGGTTTGTTTCCTTCATTGATGATCATGCTCGTGTCACTTGGATCTTCCTTATGAAAGAAAAATCCAAGGTTAGACACATCTTCCAAGCATTCCACAAAATGATAGAAACTCAATTTCACAAAGATTCAGGTGTTAAAAACAGACAATGGAACTGAGTTCTTTGAGTCAAACTTAAGGAAATATCTGACTGAAAGCGGGATTCATATTAGCTCATGTGGTGGCACCCCGCAGAAAAATGGAGTTGCTGAGAGGAAAAACAGACACCTCTTAGAAGTGGCTCGCTCTCTCCTTCTTACCTCTCACATCCCATCACCTTTCTAGGGAGATGCAATATTATCAGCAGCCTATCTAATAAACCGCATGCCATCTACAGTTCTTAAATTCGAAACACCTCTTCAAACCCTTAAGTCCTTCTATCCACATATCAGGTTCCTAGCCAATGTTCCTCTTCGAGTATTCAGATGCACAGCCTATGTGCACATTTCTCTACAAAATTGCAGCAAGCTCAAACCTAGATTAATCAAATGTGGTCTTTTAGTTTACTCAAATAACCAAAAAGGATACAAATGCTATTTCACATCACAAAAAAGGTATAAAAGGTATACAACACCATGGATGTCACCTTCTTTGAGTATCAACCCTTCTACTCCAAATTGGATCCTCAGGGGGAGAATGCATCTCATGAATATCCAATTTGGTCCATGCCGATATCAGTCCTATACAATCAGCCCAATTATTCGTTCAATCCACCTAATGGCTCGTCCACACCACCCTCCTCACATACCTCATCAAGTTCGAGCCCACAAGATAAAGACCCAGAAGAAATCCTAGTGTATTCAAGGCGGAAAAGGGCTACAGAAGGAGAAGTCAACACTCCAGCTTCACATTGCCATGAGACAAGTCCGAGTCAGAATCCTAACAATGAGACAAGTCAAGGTATGAGCCATAATCCATGTACAGGTGATGATGATGATGATGATGCGGCTGAAGTAAATGAGAATCAGGTAGATCTTGATGTTCCGATAGCCATCCGGAAGGGAAAAAGAACGTGTACAACACACCCAATCGGGAATTTTATGACTCCAGAGAATCTGTCACAAACGCACAAGGCCTTTGCGGCATCATTGGACTCCCTACAAATTCCAGTGAATGTACAAGAGGCTCTAGAATACCCGAATTGGAAATCCATTGTTGAAGATGAAATTATGGCTCTCGAGAAAAATAACACTTGGGAATACACCACCTTACCTCCTAGTAAGAGAACCGTGGGATGTAAGTGGGTTTTCTCAGTTAAGTATAGTGCAGATGGGACCAAGAATCGATTCAAAGCGAGACTTGTAGCAAAGGGATTTACTCAATCGTACGGGATTGACTATGGGGAAATGTTTACCCCGTAGCGCAGCTCAATTCCATATAAGTGTTACTTTCACTTGCCGCAGATCTAGATTGGCCACTTCACCAACTAGATATAAAGAATGCCTTTTTAAATGGAGAACTGGAGGATGAAGTGTACATGGATGTTCCAACTGGCATCCACTCAGAAGAGGCTTCCAGGAAGGTATGCAAGCTAAAGAAATCACTCTACAGGCTCAAACAATCACCACGAGCATGGTTTGAACGCCTAATGCAAGTGGGGAAACAAAATGGTTTCTATCAATGTCAAACCGATCATACCATGTTTATTAAAACATCTTCAACTAGAAAGAAGACTATTATGATCGTCTATGTGGATGACATTATTCTGACAGGTGATAACAGGGAAGAAATTGAATGTCTCAAAGGTATACTTGCAAAGGAGTTCGAAGTGAAGGACCTAGAAAAGTTGAAATACTTTCTAGGGATGGAAGTAGCAAGGTCTCACAAAGGTATATTTGTCACCCAACGGAAGTATACAATTGATCTTTTAAAGGAGACAGGGATGTTACGGTGTAAGCCGTCATTAACACCCATGGATCCGAACAGAAGTCATCAAAGAGGATATGGAGAATTGACAGGCAAAGGAAGATACCAAAGGTTATTTGGGAAACTAATCTACCTAACACATACTAGACCTGACATAAGCTTTGTTGTTGGTATGGTAAGTAGATTTATGAACCAACCAACCAAGGATCACGAGGAGACCATAGTCCGGATTCTGAAATATCTAAAGAAGAGCCCAGGAAAAGGGTTATTCTTTGGAAAGTCATAAACCAGAGAGGTACAAGTCTTCACTAATGCAGATTGGGGAGGGTCAAAAATGGATGGAAGATGTCACTTGGAGGAGTAAGAAACAAGCAGTGGTGTCTTGTAGTAATGCAGAAGCCGAGTTTAGAGCAATGTGTCACGGGATCTATGAAGGAATATAGCTGAGAAGAGTTCTCACAGAATTGTGGATCAATGTTGCCGCCCCACAAAGTTGTGTAGTGACAACACAGTTGCTATCGAGATTGCTAAAACCCTGTGCACCATGAGAGAACAAGCTTGCCGAGCTGGATAGGCACTTCATCAGAGAGAAATTGGAAGAGGGCAAGCTGGAGCTATTTTATGTTCCTTCAAAGCACCAAGTAGCTGACATTCTTACAGAAGCTCTACCAAAGCCGATTTTCGAAGTGTTAAGATGCAAGTTAGGTATGATTGACATTCGTAGCCCAGCTTGAGGGGGAGTGTGGAAATCCGATAAGCATTGGATTATTCACATGGTTAAGTTGTTAGGATAAGCTTCCTTTTATTATTATTATTTTATAAATCAGCTTAATGTGTGCTTATCTGAATTCTGTTTTTCCCTAGTTTATAGGTAGCTGCTGTGTATTTAAACCTGTTTCTGGTTCTAGTTGAGATACAATTCTCTAGAGAAATACTTTTCTCCTGTTCCAAAATCTTTTTTAGTCTCCAATGCTACCTCCCATATTTACTTGGCAATCCTATAATACATTAAAAAAACTTCCAAGTTTCATTTGTCATGGAATTGCGTGACCATGACATTACCACATAATATTTACACTTTTCACATGTGAAATCTGCAGTTGCCTCCGGTATAGCAGTAAAAGCAAGACGTGTAGGTGAATAGTCCTCCATTCCTTTTCCACAACCAAATATCATGACTGAACAGGACCACTTATCAGAGTTGTGTCTATTAAATGTGTGGTAAGTAATAGACTAGAATCTGGAAAGGTTGTAACAAGGGAAGGGTACTGGAATTGGTGATGCTACTTTCGACTTCTATCGTCATAAATGATTGAGGGAACTAAATCATGTCTAGGAGGAAGAACTGGTCACGGAATGGTGCAAGTGATCACCTACTCTAATTCCATGAAATATTATTTGATTGAATCACCTAGTTAATCCTACCCATAGGCTATATTATTCATAGAGATGATCATCTCGCCAATCTATTTTATTAAACAAAAATCAAGGGAAATCAAAATAAATGAAGAAAAAAAATTCTCTCCAAATAAAACGACAATCCTGGGGATGATATTAGGGATAATAATCCCATTAAACTAGCAACTAAATCTCCTTAGATCAAGGATACGATTTGTCCCAAAAGACCCAAACGGCCAAGTTCATTTATTAACAAAATATTCTTCTTAGTTGTGTGATGATACACAGGGAATTATTTCTCTCGAATTGTTCACCCATAAGGAAGTGCAAACTAAATTCTCAGAATCTAAGTACACAGGGTATTATTTCTCTCAAATTCTTGAGATATCTAAGGATGCTCTAGGGAGGGTCTTCCTACTCAAGTCATTCTATCAAAGATTAACCGGTCCAAGTGATGCAAGATATCATCAAAATACACAATCTTCTTCAAGGTATTGCAACTTCTTTTATGGGAACCTTACATAGTGTAAGTGCAAGAAATGAGCTAGTTTCACTGTCTAGTGCTAAGGTTGAATATAAAGCTATGACCGAACTGCATGGAAGCTAGCTTGAACTTGATGCCTTGACATAGAATTAGAAGAATCCTCAATCAGCATAGTTTAAGTGTTTTGAAACAATCTAGTTGTTAAGCACATCTCCAAGAAATTTGATTTTTCATGGGCAAACAAGGCATATTAAGGTCGATTGTCATTGCATTCATATGAAAATAATAGGCACATCTCATGAACCTCTTACTTATGGAGCCTATTTCAGTACACATTTTCCAAGAAATTCTTTGTCTTTTACATGTCTAACTCCCACCCTTTTATATTCGGCTTATTATTTCTAGGTAATATATGAACCATGAAGACAATTTTTTATTTCAATTTGCTTGGTTTGGGACTAATACATATGTACTACTCACTCCATGTGTCCACATGATACCATCCTTAAAATTCTAAAATAGCATCAAATAAAGTTGTCAAAAATACCATTTGTATGTCATAATATTGTTACGAAGTTTAGTGTCAGTGCAAACCAATTTTACATTTTATTTATGGCATAATAGACAAACACATCTCCATATTTTTACATATCTTTCAATTGCATACCTCAAACAAAAAGGTTTATCAATTATTTACTTGTCTCAAATATATCAATTACATTATTTCCATTCAGTTGTTACCAAATACCTAACATAGTAACAATGAGCACTGTTATATGTATTATATTGTTCTCCTGCTCTTCCTCTCACGCAAACTCACATTTTTGTTGGTTAATTTGATTAAAAATGTTGACAAAAATAATGTAATCGAAATGATTGCGAGAGTTTTAACTATTTAATTAAATACATCATTCTGTTCTTGAGAGTTGAGAGTATATATCTGAAAAAAGTATGAAAGGTTTGTTTTGCGTTTATTTAACCATCGGGGGAGCATAAAATGGAATCTAAACTCTAATTTATGCAAATCCTAGTAATAAATACCTTGTAAATGGCATCCAAAGGCAAACAACCCAGAAAATCAAGCAAGAAACGAGATTTTAAGTACCTGCAAAGACATTTGTTAAGGAAAAAAAAAGGGTTTCAAAACAAATGGTAAAAGAAAGCAGATTGAGATGGCATGGTACCGAATGGCGATGAGATTGTGACTACAGATGAGGCGATGGGAATGAGTATCCTTGTAGGCAACAAAGAAATGTAGGACAATATCGATGAGAAAAGCAAGCTGACCAGCAATGTCGAGAAGAAATAGGTTCTCGGGCAATCCACGGAAGAATCCAAACTCGAGGGGTGTGAAGAAGGAGGAGTATACCGCCCATATCAGGATGAATTGCTTCCATACTAGATACCACCTGCATATTCACATTCACATCCCCCCAATTTTATCAATCTCTCTTCTTCTCCAGTTTAGATAATATTATAAAAGAAAGGGAGAACACTCTCAATAATCATTCCACCCATTTAATTCCTTCATTTTGGCTAAAAGATAAAGAAAAGAATTATCAGATTCAAATCCACAGTATCATTTGCTAACCTGGAGGAATTTGAATTTTTTTTTTTTTTTTTTTTTGTCTTTTAGCCTGTCCATGATAATGCTGATGTGGATTATAGGGACACATGATATTCGGGTAAATCCGGAAAACCAACGGGTAGAAGACCAATTTCATCTATGAACTTTGATTGTTCGAATATTCTTATCGACGTTTATAGGTGAAACAATGATTTTTGTTTAAAATTCATAGGTGAAACAATATTTTTTGTTTAAAGTTACTATTGACATTTCATGTATGAGCTTTGTTTGTTCCAAAATTCATAGGTGAAACCAGAAAGTAACAATATTAGTAGATGTATCATATGTAAATTTTAGTAATGTTTCATAGATGAAACACAATAAAGGTGACAATATTAAGAGATATTTATATGCGAAATTTTAGTAAATATTTACATATGTAAAAAAAATAAGAAACCCGAAAATGACAAATTTTTATGGTTTTATATGTAAATTTTAATTACGGTTTGTATAATAATTTGTTTTAAAAAGGCAAGTGAATGAGATCATTAAGAGTGCGTTTGGTATCCAGTACAGAACATAACAGGACAAAACTGGACAATTGTTTAACGTTTGGTTAGACAAATCTGGACAGCACAAAACAAGTCAAATGACCAGTATACTCCTAATGAGGTGTTTATATATTTTGATTAATTTATGTAAATTATAAAATTATAATAAAATAATTATTTTTTATAACAAAATAAATCATTAGAAAGTTTTCGTCAAAACAATTAAAATGACACAAAAATAAAAAGTTTACGTAGTTTCCAATTTTTATTTTTATCCCTTTTCTACATTCTTTTTTTTATCATTAAATATATAATAAATTGCATAAATTAATAAAAATATAGAAACCGTACAAAAATTATATTTTGAGGACAGTAAAATGAAAGAATTAATAAAATGTAAAAAAATAGACTTATTTGATGTTCTAAAAGAGAATTAAGTTTTATTTTGAAGATATATTAGTAAAATATAAGTCGTTTTTGTTTGTTTCATATAAAAGTCTTGTCAAACAGAAAAGTTATGCCGACAAACGTCGTAAACCAATTGAATTCCAAGTGGTGGATCAAGTGATGTTGAAAGTTTCAGCTTGAAAAGAGATTGTACGTTTTGGAAAAAAGGGTAAACTAAGTCCAAGGTATATTGGGTCATTGAAAATCACCAATCGAGTTGGTGAAGCAGCGTATCGATTAGCATTACCAGATGAGCTCAGTGTTATTTAAAACACTTTCCATGTTTCGAATTTGTAGAAGTGTCTGGCTGATCTGAATTTAGCTATACCCTTACCCAAAATCGAAGTTGATAAAAATATATGTTTTTATGGAAACCCTGGAAGCAGTCATTGATTATAAAGTTAGAGTTTTGAGAAACAAAGAGATTCGTTTAGTGAAAGTTCAGTGGCGGTTCCATGAAGAGAAAAAGGCCATTTGGGAGTTAGAATATGAGATGAGAAAGAAATATCGTTATTTGTTTGACTGAATGAATTATGGGACGAAATTCCTTTAAAGTAAGGATATTGTAATAACCGGATTTATTTGATTAGAAAGTTTGGGATTGTTTTTGAAAAGTAGTTGGAAGTTTAGGGTGGGATTAGAGAGATTGATTTAAAATACCAACCCACTCACCACCTCTTCTTTAATTATATATATATATATATATATATATATATATATAGACTTGGGATCATGTGAGACCAGCCTGTTTTCATGAGACCCGTGAGACCAGTATTTTACACTTGAAACTTCACAGCAAAAATGTTGTGAAGGTGACTTTTTAAAACCTTCACAGTGTTTTTGCTGTGAAGGTTCGACTTTTTTAAACATTCACAGTGTTTTTGCTGTGAAGTTTACGTGTAAAAATGTGGTTTCACGGGTCTCACGAAAACAGGCTGGTCTCACGTGAACCCAACCATATATATATATATATATATATATATGTTTCTTTTTCATTAAAATTGATTGTTTGTTTGGGATAAGGAGAGAAAGAAAGTTGGTGAACTATTTTGTTCCTCGGTTCAAACAAAAAGAAGGGAGGAACAAGAATTGTTACGTGTTTTTATCTGATAATTTGCTGTTGAATTTAAAGTCTTTGTTTATTTGTGAATTTAAGGTGAGTTTTTATTTCAAAGCTTTATTTGAAATGCTTCTATAAGGAACCATACAGCTTCATATTTTGGGTGTTTTTGAACACGATTATATGCTATTTATTAGTATAATTTTGGGTTTTGATATGTTATTATCAACTGACTGGAATAAGGGTGACATAATCAGGAGATGTGTATATTTTGAAATAAGAGTGGCATAACCAGGAGCTAGGTAAATTTGAAATAAGAGTGGTATATTCAGGAGTTGGGTAAATTTGAAATAAGAGTGACATAATCAGGAGCAAGGTATATTAGGATAAAGGGGACATAATCAACAGTAACATGAAATATGAATTTTTATCATATGGGTTACTGTTATCACATCTGTATGATGCAATGAGATTGGTGTTATCGCATGTGTATGATGTGATGAGTTGTGTATATCGCATCAATGTGATGCAACAAAGTGGGTTATCACACTAGTGTGGTGCGAGGAGTTATATTTATCGCATCATTGTGGTGCGTTAAAAGTGTGTTTATCGCATATGTTTGATGCGACAAGTTTGGATGATCGCATATGTTTGATGCGACAAAATGTGAGATCGCATCTGTTTGATGTAATGAAATGAGTTACATTTTTCTTGTGATGCGAGGAGTTGTTTGTTTCATCTAAATGATGGGACAAAATGAGGTTTGATGAGATAAACGTTATTTATATGTTATCTTTTCAAAAATTGGCTTTTCCAAAAAGTGATTTGGTGATTTTAACCCTGTAATAGCTACAAAGAGATTACTCACTAGACCTTATGGTCTAACCCTCGTTTTGTTTTAAAAAATGTGCCTTACATGTATGACACATTCAGAAGGCATAAAGGGAAGAGAAATATGTGAAGGGATATGTTATAGCTTTACATCTGTCAATTTTTGTGGAAGCTATGAAATACATGAACTTGTGAAACTGTTATATTCAAGTTATGTTATTTGTGAGCAAAAAATTTGTAGCTACTTTTGTATGTAGTAATATGTATATTTGTGACCAATGTATAATATTTGTATTTCATATTATATAAAATATATGTGTTTTATGCAAATATGAAATGAGGTATTACATTATTAGTGGTCATCTCTCTCTCTCTCTCTCTCTCTCTCTCTCTCTCTCTCTCTCCATCTCTTTGTTTTCTTGTTTATCTTATTAACAGATAATAATAATCATAATAATTGGTGTATATAAT